AAGAAGCAGAATTCAATCTCAACAAGTACAGCAGAAGCTGAGTACATTGCAGCTGGGAGTTGTTGTGCTGAGTTACTCTGGATGAAGCAACAACTGAAGGATTATGGCATTCAAGCAAAGGAGATCAAGCTGCTCTGTGACAACACCAGTGCCATTGCAATCACTCAAAATTCAGTACTTCATTCCAGGACAAAGCACATTGAGATCAGACATCACTTCATCAGAGATCATGTGGAGAAGAAGCATATCTGTATGGAGCACGTACCTACAGAAGATCAACTAGCAGATATTCTAACCAAGCCTTTACCAGAGGCAAGGTTCAACAAACTAAGGGAAGAACTGGGAATGATGGATGATCTTCCCAGAGATTCATGAACCAGAGTTGCTGATTGACCAGAACTGCTTTCTGGAACAGAGAACCTTACATCAGAGTACCCCCATCTCTGATTACCAGAGTACCCTTCATCAGAGAACCCCATTCTCTGATACATGGATCCCTATCTGTAGTCCATCAGAGATCCATGTGAACTTAGTTATTTTTCGAGGAACAGGCAAGACCTTTTACCTTGAACAGGTCTTTTACCAGATTACCTCTGATTATTATTCTGTTAACGGAAACGTTTTTCCGCCCGCATTTCTTTAAATGATACCTCGAAACCGTAAATAATCTCAAACGTCCACTAACCCAAAACCATTTATACCCACCTTCTTCAACGTAAACCGCTACTGCTCTTCATCTCTCTAAACGTACAATCTTCAAACTCCTAAATCTCAAGAATCTTTCAGAAATCCCTCAGAAAATGAACTTCATCAACATCAACGACCTCACTAAGGAGGAATCTAAGGTTATTGTTGCCAACGTTGTAACTGGCATGAAGGTGGACATGTCAGCACTGTCACTACTTGCAGAAAACCAGAAGCGCATGGAAAAAATCATCCAAGGGATGAATGAGTCTCAACTGAGCAAGATCGTTGCTCATCCCTACGAAGAGTTCAGCACCAAAGATGTGGCTGAATTCTACCTGAATGCCACCATCACCAAGAACGGAGTTCACTCCCAGGTGCAGGGAAAAAGCATCTCTCTCAATGCTGATGCCCTCAATGAATTCTTTGGAGTCCAACTGGACTCTCAAGATCCTGAAACTCCTACTCTCATTGACCTGGAGTCAGTGGATGTCTCGGTTGAAGCATTTGCTCAGACCTACTGCCGCCCTGAGGCCGCCAATCTGGACAGACTGTACATGAAGAAGTTCTTACTGAAGAAGGACTATGAGAAGCTGGTCAGCATCTTGCACAGAAGCTTGTGGTGCAAAACTAGCTCAACTGACGAGATCAACAAACCCAACTGCAAAGCAATCTTTGTTGTTCATCATGGAATGAACATAAACTGGGGCGAGGTAATTTTCGGTTCTTTAACTGAATTTATCAAGAAGAGGGATCAGAAAACAGGCTTTTTCTCAACCAAGATGGGTCATGGTCTTCTTCTATTTGCCATCCTCACTGCCCATGGAGTTCAACTCAGGGACCCTTCCCCAGTTGACCACTCCAAAACCATCTTCCTGACTGCATCCCCCAAGTTGAATATAGCCATCTCTGCTGAATTGAAAAGAGAAGAAAGGCTAGAGAAGAAGAGGGAACAACAGGCTGTAAAACCTAAACCTGTTCCTAGGAAGACCTCCAAGAAGCCCACTGTGACTTCAGAACAACCTGAGCAGTCACAGGTTGCAAGGGATGTAAGGAAGAAGAAGAAGAATGATAGGAGGATTCTACCAGAAATGGATGCACCAGAGATGGGCGCATCAGAGTTTGCTCCCCCAAAGCCCATCAGATCCTCTCCTGCTAAGAAGCTGAAAATGAAAAGGAGAAGGAAGCTAGTTGTTCAGAGTGAGGACTCTAACAACTCTGGTCTCCAACCCATGAAGAAAAAGAAGAAGAAAGCAGTTTCACCTGCACAGAGATCAGAAACTCAGGGGGAACCTGAATCTGCTGCACAACCCTCTTCTGAACCAGACTAGCTCATCACTGTTGATCTATCAGAACCTCAAGTCATCTCTGACAGAGCACCAGAGACTGACTACAACACAATTCTTCAGAAGCAGTTTGAAAGGGTTTTGGCCTGGAGAAGATGGAAAATGGGGCCACTCCAGAAGATAATACAATACTTTGACATCTATGAAGCAGAAGAAGCTACAGTTCTTCACTGGGTAGGCACAGAAGATGTGTCCCGGTGCTTTGATCTTGCCTTTCTCATCTGTGTTCTGCAGAAAAAGAAAGAGAAACATCAAGGTAAGGCACCTTTGACTTCATCATCTCCTGAGAAGCATGTCAAAGCCCTGAAGGAGCATGAAATGGCAGTCTTTGATGAATGGCTGCTTGAGAAGAAGAGGAAGGAATCTCTTATCAAGTTTCGCCATAGCGCTCATGAAGAAGGGGAACCCTCCACTGCAAATAACTTTCCTCTGGCAATGGAAAAGCTGATCAAGGAATGGAGAGAATCCTTGTTCTTAGAAACTGTTCTTGAGGTAATCCCTACACCTCCTCCTTCCCCTCCCAAATCCTCTACTGCTCATCAATCACCCCCATCTAAAATCTCTACACCCAGATCCCCCTCACTTCCCAAATCACCTACAAAACCCTCATCCCCACTCAAACAGAAAACCCCTTCACCACAGAAAACCTCTTCTCCTCCACCACCCCCCACCAGAAATCCAACACCTCAGGAAACCAAATCAAAGTCTCCATCACCTTGCAAACAACCTTCACCTCCAAGAAACCGATCACCCTCACCTCCACCCTCCCATAAACCTATGAAATCCATCACCCATCAGAGCTCCTCTCATCAGAGATCCCCTACTCATCGGAACTCTCTCCCCATCAGAAAACCCCCTCTCACCAGAGTTCACCCCCTCAGCAGAAACCCTTGTCCAACACTAGAGCTGCCACACCCCAAATCTCTCCTCATCTCTCTGTAGCCTCAACGCCCAAGAGAGAGATTCCCATCCGCATACTCTCCTCAGATGCTGACAATGATGGATTCCTCACATCTTCTCTTGCGGCTGATTTCACATCCAAAAGGAGGAAGACACCTCCTAGAGTTCACTCTACTGAACCCACTGGGAACAATACTCCATTCCCTAAGGGAAGAGGTTTGGAGATGCCCGGGTTTTCCCCAGAAGAGCCTCAGATAGACTTCAACCAGTTTGTGCAATCTGCAGAAGAATTTGGTGGCCAGATGCTGGACAACATGAACAAGCTTATAGTCATAAATGACAAGCATTATGAGCATCTGACTCACACCAACATCAATCTCAACCAGGGACTACAGCAACTATCAGAGAAGCTTGACACTCTGACAGAGTCCCTGCACGCATTCATGAACTCATCCAATAAGAAGATTGATGCAGTCTCCAGAGAAGTAAATGGAATCAACTCTGTCCTCTACTTTCACTCCCAATCTCTGAATACTCAGAACGAGACACTAAAGGAGATAACTGAAGCCATAGACATTCTACAATGGAATGCTGATCAAGCCTCAGAGCGCTTTATGGAAATAGGAACTCTTTGTACAGAACAGAAAGCGCAAGCTTTAGATCTTCTTCAAAAGGACAAGGAGCGTTACCATAAGTTGGTACTCCTTGAAGCCAGTACTCAGAGCATCCAATCAACTATGGAGAGACAACAGAGCCTGATTAAAGGACTGGCTTCTGTTACCCAGACTCTGCCAGAAGCTCTAGATGAGATCAAAGATGCTCAGGCATCAGAGTTCTCTAAGATTGAGCTCCTCCTTGGCGATCTTGTTGATGCCAAAAAGGGGGAAGAGACCAGAGAAGAGGAAGGTCCAAGCTCCAGAGCCATATCTATCAGAGGACCCTCATCTACTGTTGATCCTGCTCCTTATTTCGAAGCTGCAAAGAAGAAAAAGCTAGCTACTGCAGACACCAGACCTCCACCTCCACCTCCCAGAAGCTCTAAGAAGAAGTCCTCGAACTTTACTTTTAATGAGTGGATGAAGAGTGGGATGTCTAGGCATGACAGAGCTCAATTTACTCAGATGAAGAAGCTTATGACTCCACTGCAACAAGAAAATCTGTTTATGGACAGTGATGGACTTGTCCAAATCAATCATGGCGGATCAATACAAGAAGCCGAAATATGGTTACAGATGAGAGTCCTATCTGGCAAAAACATATCAGAAGCGATCAGAAACTACTTGGATTGCAAGCTTGCACCTCACTGGGCAGACTATTTTCCATCTCTGGTAGATGCAAACTACTTGGATTGAGAGGATTGACAAAGCAGGACCCCAGGTAGATGAAGAAGATACTTAATTTTCCATCTCTGTTTCTGTATTTAACCTTCTGATAATAAGATACCATCTCTGCCTCTATTTTGCATGGCATCTTAAATTATCTGTTCTTCCTTACTTTCTGTGACTTCCTTTCGTTTGCTCTGCTACCTTATTTCCTTTTATTGCTATCTGATTGTACTGTACTCTTACTATTTTCCTATGCCAAGTTGACCACCAAGACTTTAATGAAAGTTTTTAACTTTACTCTTTTGTGGTGAAAGGCACTTCTCTGGAAATAGTTAAAGGGTTTTGGCATCATCAAAAAGGGGGAAATTGTAAGGAATAAATGTAATTAGATTTTGATGATGCAAAGTTTATTAGAATTTGAAAGTACCCCTATAGAAAGGCAATTGCCTTAGTGTTTTCTGAGGCTACCCGGACAGAAACCAATCCGCTGCCAGGTCCAGTCCTGCCATCAGAACTTGACCTTATCTGTCACCAGAATTCAATCATCTCTGATAAGTCAGTTGTGACTTAGAGAAAAGTTTGAAAAATCCTGAACAGTCTATTCACCCCCTCTAGACTGTTCTCATTACAAACGGGACCAACGGGTAATGATTTGCTTCCTATTTCTGATTTTCACAAAATTATGAAAGAATTTGGAATTAGAGTCCCTTTCTTTAATCCACCTCATATTAGCCTTCGGTTTCAAATTCAAGATGGTTAGTTGCAGAAAGGCAAATTACAAAATGGACCCATTCTGAGAACAAAGCCTTCGAGAACGGCCTTGCTCTGTAAGACAAGGACACGCCGGACCGGTGGGAGAAGGTGGCGGAAATGGTTCCCAGCAAGATGGCGGCGGATGTGATTTTGCAGTACAGAGAATTGGAAGAAGATGTCAGTTGCATAGAAGCTGGTCTGATGGATTTGCCGCCCCTCCCCCTCCTCCAAGTAGTTTCACTTCGCCTTTCACACTTGATTATTGGGGAAATAGCGGCCGCGGATTCGATGCCCATGGACGTACTTTCGCCGCCGATGGGAAGAGGCCGCCGTCTAACCGGGCGCATGAGCAAGAAAGGAAGAAGGGCGTTCCTTGGACGGAGGAAGAGCACAGGTTTGGACCCCTTTTTCCTTAGAGTTAACAAGTTAGATTAAGATTCAACATTTTATAGGTTGATTTATAAGTTTTTATTTCTTCAATTACAATTGACATTATCCAAATGCAAGTAGTCAAATTGTCCAGTTCATTGTCTATTTGTCTGCCATCTCTAGCTGGATCATAGCAGTCAAACGTGCAGGGGCGGACCGTAGTAGAGACTCACGGGGCGGTAGCCCCCAACAATTTTTTTTAGTGTATATATATACGAAAAATGATTTTCGTTCTTCCAAAAAGTATTTTGAAACCCCCAAAATATTTTCGTCCCCCAAAATGACTTTCCTGTGTCCGCCCCTGCAAACGTGGGTCTAACAAGTTTAATTGGACAATGTATACTTATTGTGTTTTCAATGTAAAATGTTCTCCAGTCTCCATATACTTTACTGTTCATTGAGTTTTTAATTTCCACTTTCTAGCTAGAAAGTCTTCCTGCTTTGGTTTATGGAGTCTGGTCAAATGACGGCAATTTGCAACTTGAATCGACCACCCAGTTCCGGAAGCTTCTTTCAATAGGTTCCTCCTTCAAGTTCATTTTCAAATGAGATATCCCTACGTGTTTCCTTTTCATTATTTTCTTGGTCATATCATATATGTTGTATATGTACATTCTCGATTTGTATTTCATTTTTGGCCGAACACAATCCACCAATTGAGGAGTTCATACAATCCGGAGTTGTTCCTCGCTTTGTTCAATTTCTTGCTAGAGATGACTACCCCCGCTTCAGGTTTGAATTGATTGATGTTTCTTGTTCATGGAAACATCCATATATTCAACACCAAACTTCTTCTTTTAAAGTTTCACATTCTATTTTCTAGTTTGAAGTTGCATGGGCTCTCACGAATATTGCATCTGGCACATCGGACAATACAAAAGTTGTTATTGATCATGGTGCTGTACCAATTTTTGTGAGACTTCTTAGTTCCCCAAGTGATTATGGAGATGTTCTTAATAGCAGGCACCTCGATTCCAATAGTCTTACTGGTCAAATTCCATTGCAGAAGAAATAGAGAGACCAGGTTCTTCTTTGGCTGTTATATTTGTAATCCTAATTCTTATGTATTGTTATATGATGTTTTAATACTTAGATAGGGTGGCAAAGCAAGGTTTTGAAAGTAATAGGCCTAATGGATTCTGGTTGATTTATTCAATTAGACCATTAAGCTTGGTCTGGCCCGTTTCAGTCTATTATACTGCAGTTTGGGCCTGATATTTCCTTAGTCCAGTCTGTTTCTCCTTATTTCGACCCAACTCTCTTGATTCGCATATAAAAGGTCTCCTCCTTCTCTTCTGGAGACATCTTTTTGCGTCATTTTGAAACCCTAACTATAGAGAGGCGAGTTAGAGAGCTTGAGTGTTGATTGAGAGGGAAACTACTGGTTTTTCGTGTTAAGACCTGAGAACACTTGAAGCTGATGAAGCTGAGAAAGGCTGGAAATCAATCGTGTGGCGAAGCTTAAACGCTGGGCAGTTGGTTCGAATCCAAGAATCTGCACTCTCCTGAGTTTTGGAAGCTTTATTCGGTTATTTCTATTCCTTTTATTACTTCTGTTGTCGTGCTTGTGTTTTGGCTGATTCTTCTGTGTTAGATCTTATTATCTTTTCTGATCTTGCTTTGCAACCATCTTTGTATTCAAACTATTCTGAGCTAGTGGATTCTTGGGACCGGGTTTCCCCTGTTGAAACCCCGTAGAGTAGGATTTATCCGAACTGTGTCAACATATCGTGTGTTCATTTCTTTAATTTCTGTTTTGGTTGAACTTGAAGTTTGAATCCGGTATTTTGATTGTGACTATTGATATAGTCTGAGAACAATTTTGGTATCAGAGCCTTTACATTAGATTCTTGAAACCCTAATCTAAATTTATGATTTGATTGAGTTTTCAAGAAACCCTAATTTTTGGTTTACTGTTTTTCGATCCTGAAACCCTAGCTCAAAACTGTTCGAATCTTGATTGCATTTAGTTCTTGTCTGATTGCCTTCTGTTGTTTTGTTACCTATTTGTATCTTGAGCCTAACCTGCAAACATGTCTGACACTGGTATCAAGATTCGCATCTTTGATGGTACCAGTGACTTTCCCATGTGGCAGCTTAAGATGAAAGCTCTTCTTATGAAGCAGAAATGCTTTAGAGCTGTCTCATCTGATACTGTTCTCAATGTGTCTAGTTCTGATTTGTCTGAACAGAAAAATGCTGCATATTCTGAATTGATTATCCATCTGTCTGACAATGTGGCTAGAAAATTTTCACAATCACTGATCCTAAAGTGTTATGGGATACCCTTGAGTCCACATATATGAAAAAGTCCATGTCTATAAAGATTTCTCTGCTCTATAGGCTATTTACCTTTAAAATGAATATTTCTGTGTCTTTATCTGAGAACTTGGATAATTTTCTGAAATTGACACAAGAGATAGAAAAGGTAGATGAAAAGATAAAAGACACCCATCAAGCTGTTATTCTGTTAAACTCTTTACCACCTCAGTTTGATAACTTTAAGGATGTCATCCAGTATTCTAATGATGATCTCACCCCTGGTAAGATCACTGATGCTATACATGAGAAGAATGAATCCCTTAAAGTTTTTAAGTCTAAATCTGATCCCTCTAATACTGAGAAAACTAAACCTAAAAATGAAGCCCTAGTTATTAAAGGGAAACCAAAGAATAAAAAGAACAGTTCAAAGAAGAAGAATAAAACTGATAAAGATAATTCTGAAAAGAAAACCTCCAAATGTCACTACTGTGGCATAGAAGGACATTTTGCAAGAGACTGTAGGAAAAAGAAAAGGGATAAACAAGGTGATAATAAAAATAATCCTAACCCTACTTCTAATACCGAATCTGCAAATATTTTTCAACATGAATTGCTTGTTTGTTCTGGATCTTCTTTGAATAATGAATGGATTTTAGACTCTGGGTGTACATTGCATACTACTCCTAACAAGACCTACTTTTCCTCACTGACTCTATATGATGGGGGAAAGGTCATGTCAGGAGACAATACTGCCCTAGATATCAAAGGTGTTGGTAATGTTCCTCTGAGGATGTTTGATGGGGTTGTAAGGGTTATCCAAAATGTTAGGTGGGTTCCCTTCTTAAGAAGGAATCTCCTATCAGAATCTGTTTTTGATGATCTGGGTTGCACTATTAATACACAGGATGGATATAAGGTTGTTTCCAAAACTAATAATGGTCTTGAGTTCTGCAATAATGAATTCAATAATTTTTGCAAAAATGAAGGGGTTAAAAGGTTGCTTATTGTCCCTGGAACTCCTCAGCAGAATGGTACTGCTGAAAGGATGAACAGAACCCTGCTTGAAAAGGCAAGGTGTATGCTCATCAGTTCAGGCCTTGGTAATTACCTGTGGGGTGAAGCAGTGGTTACTGCTTCATACCTTATTAACAGATCCCCATCTTCTGTGATCAGTTTTAAAACTCCACGGGAAATGTGGTCTAGGATTAAACCTAACATTTCTCATTTAAGGTCTTTTGGGTGTGCAGCCTATGCCCATGTTTCTCAAGCTAAATTACAACCTAGAGTCTTAAAATGTGTAATGTTAGGCTATCCTGAGGGAGTTAAAGGCTATAAGCTACTGGTTGTACAACCAGGGGCTTATAAATGTATTGTATCCAGAGATGTTACTTTCAATGAATGTGATTTTCCATTTAAACGAACTGATACTGTCTTGAGTAAGTCTGCAGATGCTTCTGATGAAAATTTCTTTGAATCTTTGGATAATGATGACTCTATGAATGAAGAGGACCATAGTGGAATCCTCCACAATGCTGCATATGATTATTCAGAATCTGAAACAGACCAACATGATGGCCTCAATGGAGGTGAACAGGTAGTAGTAAGTTCAGACTCACATGTAGTATTTCCGGTTCTCATACTCCCATTGTGCATGAACTAACTGACACTACTGTTATTAATGATGTGCATGTTGATAATAATCACACTGATAATCGTGATACACCAAATTTAGCAGACTATCAACTAGTTATTGATAGAGAACCTAGAGCTATTATTCCTAATAAAAGATATTTCTCTAATCTTGCTGAATTTGTGTTGATTGCTGTCGAGGTGGTAAAACATTTAGTTCCTGATAACTTTGAACAGGCTATGAACTGTCCTAAGTCAAATGAGTGGATGAAAGCCATGCAAGATGAACTTCAATCCATGTATTCTAATAGAACTTGGATTTTAGTTCCTAAGTCCAAAAGTGCTAAAGTAATTGACTGTAGGTGGATTTTTAGGTTAAAAGATAGTCTTGATCCTACAGAACATCCTAAGTTTAAAGCAAGGCTGGTTGCTAAAGGTTTTAGACAAAAAGAAGGAATTGATTACCAAGATATCTTTGCACCTGTTATAAAATTCAAAACTTTGAGACTAATGTTGGCTGTAATCACTGTTTTTGATTGGGAGTTGGAACAAATGGATGTTAAGACTGCTTTTTGCATGGAGACTTAAAAGAAACCATTTTCATGTCTCAACCTCCTGGCTTTATTAATAAAGAGTTTCCTGGACATGTTTGTCTTCTTAAAAAATCAATCTATGGACTTAAACAGTTTCCTAGACAATGGAATTTGAAGTTTGATTCCTGCATGAGTGAACTTGGTTTTTTATGGAGTAAATATGATACTTGTTTGTATTATAAATATGTTGGAACTGAGAATGCTATTTATATCATGTTGTATGTTGATGAGTTTCTCTTAATTGGTCCATGTAAAATGCTGATTGTTAGTGTTAAAGATGATCTGAAAGTGCATTTTGACATCAAGGATATTGGCTATGCCAAGAGAATTTTGGGAATAGACATTACTAGGGATAGATCCAATAGAAGCATGTTTTTATCACAGGATGATTACGTGACTAAAATCTTGGATATGTTTAGTATGAATGACTCTAAATCAACCCCCTTACCTTTAGGAGGGCATTTAGAACTCTCTAGAGATCCCTATCCTTTGACTTTAGAAGAAACTGAGAAAATGGCTAAGATCCCTTATGATGTTACTTCTGGTTCTCTCATGTATGCCACGCTTTGTACTAGGCCCGATCTTGCTTTTGCTGTCAGTATACTTAGCAGATTTATGTCTGATCCTAGGACCAAACATTGGACTGCTATTAAATATACCCTAAGATATTTGTCTGGTACTAAGAACCTAAGTCTGAAATATTCTAATTCTGATTCCTGTGATTTGAAATGTTTTGTTGATTATGATTATGCTGGATGTAAAGACTCAAGAAAATCCACTACTTCTTGATTCTTTACATGGGCTGGAAACTATATATCTTGGAAATCTCAATTGCAATCTGTAGTAGCTTTGTCTACCACAGAGGCTGAATATATTGCAGCCACTGAGGCTATAAAAGAGGCAAAATGGTTAAAAGGTATAGTGGGTGAAGTGTTGGGAACTAATATTGTTCCTACTGTCTTCTCTGATAGCCAAAGTTCTATATACTTGTGCAAAGACCCTATGTATCATGAAAAAACTAAGCATATAGATGTTAGATTTCATTACATTAGGGATGAGATTTCTAAAGGTAATACTAAAATTGATAAGATTACTGGAGATGTTAATCCTGCTGGTTTTGGTACTAAAATTGTTCCTACTGCTAAGTTTCTGTTTTGCAGGCAGTTCTTCAAAATCTTTGAAGTACCTTGAAATTAAGGGTACTTGTTTGTGATGATGATGAAAGGGTGTAAGCTGGTCTCTTGAATCCTGACACTGGCTATGATGATAAATGCTCTTATGAGTTGTGCCTCAACAGAATTAGTCTTAGGAGGACAAATTGTTATATTTGTAATCCTAATTTTTATGTATTGTTATATGATGTTTTAATACTTAGATAGGATGGCAAAGCAATGTTTTGAATGTAATAGGCCTAATGGATTCTGGTTGATTTATTCAATTAGACCATTAAGTTTGGTCTGGCTCGTTTGAGTCTATTATACTGCAGTTTGGGCCTGATATTTCCTTAGTCCAGTCCGGTTCTCCTTATTTCGACCCAACTCTCTTGATTCGCATATAAAAGGTCTCCTTCTTCTCTTCTTGAGACAACTTTTTGCGTCATTTTGAAACCTTAACTACAGAGAGGCGAGTTAGAGAGCTTGATCGTTAATTGAGAGGGAAACTACTGTTTTTTCCTGTTAAGACCTGAGAACACTTGAAGCTGAAGAAGCTGAGAAAGGTTGGAAATCAATCGTGTGGCGAAGCTTAAACGCTGGGCAGTTGATTCGAATCCAAGAATCTGCACTCTCCTGGGTTTTGGAAGCTTTGTTCGGTTATTTCTATTTATTGATGGACTCGGGCCGGGTCGGGCCCGGGCTGGGCCTAGGCCCGGTCGGGCCGCCGGGTTGTATGACATGGGCCCGGGACCGGCCCGAGGGTTGGACGGATCAGGTTCGGGCCGGGCCACCCGCCCGGGTCACGAGTCGGGTCCGGTTCGGGCCGGGCCGGTTAATTTTTTTTTTTATAATTTATATTTTATAGTTTATAGTTTTATACGAGTATTAAAAACAAACTTCAATTGCATTTATTTGAAATGAAATATGAACTACATTTGAAAATTAAAACAAACTTTAAGAGATAAACATTTTGAAAATTGTAATCAATCGGAACTTCCCGCACCTCCCGGTCCTTTGGCTTTGTCACATGACTTCATATGCTTGATTGCCATCCCGAATCTGTCTGAAGCCCCCATGCTACATTTTTTCTCGCACCATTTGCAAATTGCGTACCACATCCCGGTCTTCGGGTCCTTCTGCTTATCAAAATTATACCGTATAATGGCATCTTGATTTTCCAACTTAACTTCTTAAGTATAAACTATAAAGTAGATATATAAATAATAAATATAATATATTGGAGAATAAGAGAATTAGAGAGTAGAGAGTTAAGAATAGGATTTAGGAAGAATTGGAGAAGAGATATGAAAAAATGTTTAAGATTAGGAGTATTTATAGGTTTTTTACCCCCCACCCCCACCCCCCCACCAGCCAACCCCCCGGACCCCCCCCCCCCTTTACCCCACCCAACGGCTATATAGCCGTTTGGGTTGTCCCCAGCCCCACCCCCAACGGCTAGTAGCCCAAGAGCCCAAACAATTTTTTTTTAAAATAAGACCAGACCCGGGCCCGACCCGGCCGGGCCGGGTCAATTATTCCAGCACCGAGCCCGCCCCGCCCCTTCCCACCGGTTCGGGCCCATACCCGGTCCCAGACCGCCCGACCGGGCCGGTCCCGGGCCCGCACAGTACCGGGCCGGGCCGGGTCACGGGCCGGGTGGCCCGAACCGAATCCAACCCTATTTCTATTCCTTTTATTACTTCTGTTGTCGTGCTTGTGTTTTGGCTGATTCTTGTGTGTTAGATCTTGATAAACCCAGTATTTAACAAATAACAATCATAAGCAGTTATAGAAGAAGCAGATAGAAAGATATGTCGATATTATACACGAATCTAGTATATCGTATGAAACCTCGCTGCTCTCCCTGGAGAAGGAGAGCAGCGGAAACCCTTCTCTCTATCTCGCCTCTTGCGCTCTCAGCCTCTTTTGATTGTTAGGGTTTCCGTAAGTTAGCCTCCTTTTATAGGAGAAGTTAACTAACTTACGGGTTACAAGGAAGCCCCCGGGCTGATACACATTTGTGGCCCGTATTACACGTTTAATTAATAACTATACAAATACAAAGATATTTAATTAGATTGGACACCATAAAATATTCCTAACAATCTCCCCCTTGGTGTTCAATCGTGTTGAATCAGCATTGCAGCGCAGATATCTTTGTCTTTGTTGTTATTCAGTTTCCTTTGTCTTTGAACTTTACTTCTGAGGAAGGCTATCTGAAGAAATCCTTGCAATCTCCCCTTTGATGTCTTCTTGACAATTTGATCTTTGATGCCGGGGGTTGAGGGATCTTCAGTATCTTGCATGTAGTCCTTGCCTTCCAGAAGTTGCTCTTGATCAGCTTGGATGAAGTTCGGTGACGCCTCTAGAATGAATATTCTTTGGACAATAGGAGACGCTCATGGACTTCATCTTCAAGACACGAGTATTTGACCTCTGTCTCCTCCACAATGTAGTCTTTTTGACTATTTGGAATGAATGCACTTGAGGATAACTTGTCGGTGGCACAGCGAAACATAATGATTGTTGATTTGTGAGTGTAGCTGACCATTTGATTTGAGTTGTAGAGATAGCAGAGAAGGTATTGATTTTTGTGATGGAGGAGTGAAGTGTCCCAGAATGATTTGTTCAGTGTTAACAGCATGTGGACCACTCTCCCCCTCATGACGATCCGATGAATCGAGACGTCATGCTTTTATTCTTTTATTCTGCGGAAATAAAACAGGAAACAAACAGAAAGAGTAGATGATAAAAGCCCCCCAGGGTCGTGTAGACACCCGTTTTCATCACTATAGAGATAAACTCTAAAGCAATGGCCTGAAAATGTTGGTGATTCTTATGTTGCAACAGCAGGACTTCCTTCCAATCATTAGTCTTCATCTGCAATAGATGAGACCTATGGAAGTTCTCGCGGGTCTTTGAAGACCTGCAACTGACTCAGAAATTGCGTCCGTGTCCTAGAAATTTCAAGACATTTGGGAGTGAGGTAACTAGACACGACGTGATCAATGAAAGTTCAGTGGCATGAGGCTGAAGCCACTGTAGTCAGTATTGCTTGCCTCGTAAGGAGGTAGTAATGAGAGATGCGGTTCCCCGTGAAATATGATTAAACACATGTCTGTTGGGAGACAAGTGAGTGGTCTAAGGGTAGGGTTGAGCATGCGCCGTTTGGACAAAATGCAGCGTCTTCTACCCGGGATCTGAATAAATTCAGTCCTGAACCTATGGGGATAGTCCAGAGTATTTGAGTGGCTAGGAATAAATGTTCAATGGATAGTAGGCAGTTGAGGTAGCAGACTTATCAGTGATAATTGTTTCCTTGCTCACTTGAGCCTTCTGCTTCCTAATGCTCATAATTTTCACTCACTCACTTGCTCACTCACTCACTTACGCTCGGCTTTGTCCCTTGGGTAGGCTTAGTTGGGTTTACTAAGCCATAGGGACATGTTCTCTCATTACTTTCTTCATTTTCTCTCTGTACTCCCCCTCAACTGGAGCACTCGGTATACTTTGTCATTGTTAGGCACCGGGAAGGATAACATTGAACACTCCCCCTAAAATGTTGCATCCTTTGAGAGATTCCTTGCTTTGTCGGTGTAAGGCGCCAGGAGGAGAAAACTGAAACTCCCCCTCAAAATGTGCAAGGTTTGATTGCTCACAGCTTGTCATACCCGCCATGTGCGTGGAGCAATCTGAACAAGTACCACACATGACGGTTTCCCTGAACTCATCATGTAGAATTTCAGCATATTGATGATCACATAATGTTGATGAGTCAGGGGAGGCTTCAGTGGTTGATTGTTGATTGTTGTAAGATGACCGTTGACGCGAGGTTGATTGAATTATCTACAATTTTCGGACCTCTACAGTGAAGTTTAGAAAAGCTTTGACCTCAGGGTTGACATAGAAAGAATTTGAACATATTTGCCTAAGTTTTGACCTGGACATCAGTGATTTACAATGTTTGTCGAAAAACTAACGTTTTGACCCTCAAGGGCTGCGAGTGAGGGCGCGTGAGAATGGGTTCTGGGGCATAGTCCGAGAATTAATGTAGATCTTTTCGTTATGGCCAAAACAGTGCGGTGTCACAGAAAATCTCGAATTTTTTAGTTTTTGAGGAATTTCTTCGAAGTTGAGGTTCTCGATGAAAAATATCGAGAGCAGGTGGATTTAAAACAAAATTCTAAGGCAATACTTCAAAATCCTAATCTCGAGATTTAAATCTCGAGATTACAATCTCGAGGTTCAAATCTCGAGATTACAATCTCGAGGTTCAAATCTCGAGATTACAATCTCGAGGTTCAAATCTCGAGATTACAATCTCGAGGTTCAAATCTCGAGATTACAATCTCGAGGTTCAAATCTCGAGATTACAATCTCGAGGTTCAAATCTCGAGATTACAATCTCGAGGTTCAAATCTCGAGGTTCAAATCTCGAGATTACAATCTCGAGGTTCAAATCTCGAGATTACAATCTCGAGGTTCAAATCTCGAGATTACAATCTCGAGGTTCCAATCTCGAGATTACAATCTCGAGGTTCAAATCTCGAGATTACAATCTCGAGCTTCAAATCTCGAGATTACAATCTCGAGCTTCAAATCTCGAGATTACAATCTCGAGCTTCAAATCTCGAGATTACAATCTCGAGCTTCAAATCTCGAGATTACAATCTCGAGCTTCAAATCTCGAGATTACAATCTCGAGCTTCAAATCTCGAGATTACAATCTCGAGCTTCAAATCTCGAGATTACAATCTCGAGCTTCAAATCTCGAGATTACAATCTCGAATTTTAACTCTCGAGATTACAATCTCGAGTTTGCCTCGAAGAATAATGACGAAATCCACCTGCAAAACAAACCTCAGAATATCGAAATCTGCAGAATTTCAAAATGTTTGGAACATCGAAAACTTTGGAGTTTCGAAAACATTAGAAAATCGAAAACTTGCTGTTTGAAAAACATCAGAACATCGAAAACTTCTAAAAACTTTGAAAAACAGAGATTCATCCAAAAATCCTATAATGTAAAGCTTCGAAGTGTTCTGAACAGGAAAGATATCAAGTTTAGAAGAGATCAGTGATTCAAGAAACTCCAAACTTTGAAAAATTCAAAACATCGAGAAATTTTGAAAATCTCAAAATCTTAAGAATGTCGAGATCCTAAACATCGAGATCCCAAATGTCGAAATTTCAAAACTCGAAATTCCAAAACTCGAGGTTTCAAAACTCCAGATTTCAAAACTCGAGATGTCAAAACTCGAGATGACAAATCTCGAGATGACAAAACTCGAGATGACAAAAGTCGAGATGTCAAATCTCGAGATTTCAAAAGTCGAGAAGAGGATATCGAGTCCCTAAATGTCGAGATCCTGCAAAATGAAAA